TTTGTAATTGCTGTGCAGAACATTGTGTTTGAGAATTTCAACGTACAAGCAGGGATGGATAGGACCGGGGTACCAACGGATATGTTGACTTTGAATTCAACAGTGAAAATATTCTTCAGAAATCCAGCGACTTTCTTCGGCGTACACGTCACTGCCACACCTCTTCAACTTTACTATTACGACCTCAAGGTTGCTTCTGGTCTGGTAAGTAAAGTGGTAAAGCCCCATCCTCCCCTCCCCCTTCTCCCATTGATTTTCTTTCTTTCTACATCAACTGCCTGTGATTTTCTTTTCTTCAAGAGTTCAGCTTCCTTTAATTTAATTAAGTAATTGGGCTAGTTTTCTCAGTTTTTTTTTAATTTGTTGGGTGGAATTAATTAGTCCTTCTTAGTTGGGCTTAGGGTTGGTGGGTCATTAATGTGCCAAGACTCAGTTCAGTAGTACACACACACACATTACACTGCTGTTTCTCCCACATCTATTTTTTGGTTGGAGGGGAAGGAAGGAGCCCAACTGAGCTTGAGCTTGTATGGAAATTGAGAGTGTAATGAAATATTTTTTGTTTTGAACAAAGGATTAAGGAGGGGAGTAGTCCACAAGACTTCCTTTCTTGTAAGGGATAATTTCAGAAACCTCGGGAGGGGGAGGTTTCTGACAATTTCACTCACCTCCCTTCAGGTTTGAATAATTACACTAACCTCCTTTCATGTAATAAAATGACTATAATATCCTTCACTTATAAATAATTTCTATAAACAAAAAAAATTCTACAATTACAACTAGTCTTTTATTTTAAAATAACTGCTGCTGCACAAACTAAACTTTTGTTCTATCTCTCCGAATCTTTCTCTTACCTTCTTTCTTCCACATCTCTTTTTTCGCAAATAAACACCCACGCTTTTTTTTGTTTTCTTTTTTTCATAAGTATTATTAAATTGAAATTACAAAATGACAAGTTGTCGAATCATATTTGTTGTCAAACTAAATGAAGGTAAAAAAGATGGTGGTAATATAGAATACATACAAGAAAATAAAAATGATAGCTCAAAAGGAAATGTGAATTAAATACGGTTACGATATTATACTAATTGTGTAAAAAAGAATTCTGAGATATAAAAATTATAATCAGATTTGCCTAGAGACATGGGATGTGGTCTCTAGTGTTGTTTTTGGTTGCTCCGTGTTGATATTCTTGGTAAATTATAGTATTTTAGTAACAACAAGGTTGAATAGTGACATTGGTCAATTTAAACATTGAATTTAGGTAAAAAAAAAAAAGAGGCTAAATACTACGTTGAATGCAGACTTTAATTATCACAGTTGATTTGCATGGGAAGCTTTGGAGCGGCAATAGTAGGATGTCAAAATTGTAAGAATATGGGAATTAAGGTAAAATAGTTTATTAAGTTCATTAAAGTGGTGGTTATGTCGTTTACAATAGTTGCAATGTGAAAGAAATTTATTAATTTGTTTTTTCCCCTTCTAAGTAACAAAAAAGGAATATTTTAGGATTTTTGAGGAGAAAGTTAGCATATCGGGTCTATATTGTAATTAAAATGCTAATCATAAGGAAGGTAGTTATAATTTTTTATACTAGGAGGGAGCTTCCTGCAATAGTCAGAAACCTCAATTATCCCTTCGTGTGATTGTAGTGTAATGCATTAGGTGGGGTCCTGGCTGGTTTTTGTTTGAACTCTGATGCACTAGAAACGATGGCTGTCATCATATCATCTTCTTGGTCACCGTGATTTTTGTTGTGGGCAGAGAAAAGGCTGCACATGACAGAGCCAGCGAGCTCCGGACAAGGTTTTGGGTCCTGGAGTTCATACTTCATAGGAACTAGCTGGACCCCAATTGGCTTCATCAAACTCTTACGATTCTCATTTGTTTTTGGTTGTGGATTAAAATCTGGTTCAAGCTCGGTTTCAATTCTAAGATATGCATTATTTATTTCGAGTTGGAGCTTAAGTTTGGCTTGTTGCATTAGCCGGACTCTAACTCCTACTCGAATATCTTTACTTTACAAATTAAAAGTATGCAAACTCTGATAACTTTTTAAAATTCATTTAATGAACCAATGAATTTTGAATCCTGTATTATACGATTTTAAAAATAGGTATTAAATGAATTTTGAAGCATCTCGAATTGTATTGTGGGATATTTGTTGTTCTTTGTTTTGGATGGGGGATGCTTCCATTGGCTGTCAAGTTGCTTGTTATTTGCTCCATTTGATTTGAAGCTGTTGGATACAGGTTGTTACGCATCCTACCACCATACAATTTTCTCCAAAAGAATTTTTTTTTTTAATTATACCATATTAAAAGATAAAGTTGGATTTAGTGATTTTTTTTCTCTTTCTAAATTACCCTCATTAAAAAAATCGGAGTTGAATCTGACTTAAATAAATTTCCCTTTAAAAATGAAACTGCCTTAGGTTCCCTCTAGGATTGCAAACGAACCGAACCGCTCGCGAGTGGCTCGAGTCGAGTTCGAGCTGACTCGAGTCGAAATCGAACTCGAGGTCAAAATATTAAGCTCGTTAACTCGCGAATATATTTTGTTTTAAGTATATATTTTTTTTATTTTTTATTTTAAGTATATATATATTTTTTATTTTTTTAATTTTAATAGTAAAATTATATATATATCCTTAATATTTTATTATTTATTAAGAAAAAAATATTATTTTATTTATTTTTTAAAAAATAAAATAATTATTTTTTATTTTTTTCGACCTTGAGCTCGAGCTCGAAATTGTCAGCTCGTCGAGTTCTTGGTTCGATTAGGTCAAAGATCGACTCGGCTCAACTCGTTTGCAACCCTAGTTCCATCCACCTTATTTGCTTGATTGCATGAGACTACCATATTTACCGAAGACGCAACCCCAATTTTGTAACGAAGTTTTTTCCCCATCTTTAGGTACTTTGACTCATTTGTTGGTGATTTTTGAAGTTTTGTTTTTTGGGTGTGTTTGTGTTGGGGATAGAGAAAAAGGAGGAAGCCTAAACTCTGAGATACAAGAAGGTGACCAGTGTAGTAATAGCATTACATGCTGAAAAGTAAATAATTAGATAACTATTTGTGTGATCAGGAAGAGTATGATGTTCAAATGCAAATAGAACAAACTATATCTTCTTGCTTCTTTGGATGACCTGTTATATGGCCTTAGGCAGAGTATGGAGGTAAACTTGGAACACCAATGTATCTTCTTTTTTTCGGAAGTTATGATAATCATAGTTACGCTCGAAGAGAAGTTGATTCTAGTTCAACGAAACTTGGAACCTTCATTTCAACTTTCGACTATAGGTAAATATGTTCATGATCACTGCATACGCTCCTCTTGCCTTGAATGAGTTTCATTACTTGCTCTTCAGGGTGCCAAGGGAAGAAAACAAGCTTCTTTATTTCCCATTGTAAGGGAATAGTCCATGTTATGCCAGTAAATGTATAGGAAATTCTCCCGGTCTGTTTTGATCGTTGCCTACATAGTAATACTCCATACCCACTAATTTCTGATGCCCTACATTCCATGGTTCTCGTGTATCAGATGTACAAGTTTTATAATCTTCTATTGAGAGATAAATTTCAGTCATGGCGTTTGCTTTTCTGCCAAAATGAAGTTTCTTCCTCTAAATTTCTGTTGTCAAATGCACCTGTTCCGATCAAATGCTTTTTGTTTGCTCGTTGCTGACTATACTGCTTGAAAAAGCACCTAAATAGGTGCAACCAACTAATACAACATCAAACCTCCAAGGAGCTGGTTCTTAAAGAATTTCATCATGGTAATTCTTGTAAACTGTAAAAGAGAAAGAGGATGCAAATGCAAGAGTTCTATCTGATGATTCCTTTTGTTATTCTCTGTTAATTTGTCTTGTTGCTTCTACTTCCTCTTGCTCTTTGCTTCACCTCTGCTACTGCCATTCCCGTTGACTTCATCTTTCCATTTACTACCAGTTTTTCCATACCAAAAGAAAGCTTTTACTACTTTTAACATTGGGCTTTTTTTTTTTCGTTGGCTATTAATGATTGAGCAGATGAAGAAGTTTTATCAGTCAAGAAAGAGCCAACAAATAGTAATGGTTGTCGTTCAAGGTTACCAAGTTCCTCTTTATGGTGGAGTGTCAGTTTTGAGCGGAGCCAAGGGTCACCTTGAGAGTGCATCAGTGCCCCTTAACCTGACTTTCAAAATGAGGTCAAGGGCTTATGTTTTGGGAAGGCTGGTGAAGCCAAAGTTTTACACAAGCATCATATGTGCTGTAACTCTGAGAGGCAATCATCTTGGAAAGCCTGTTAATCTTACAAATTCCGATAAGTGTGTTTACAAATAGGTGATGGGCTCATGTTTTTCAATTATTTCTTTTGGGGATTGATTGACAAATTAGTGGAGCATAGATCTGCTTTTCTTAGTTTTCGCTGGAATGTATATGCATTGACTCTACTGACGAAGGATACCTTTGTATCAGAGGAATTGGTGACCTTACTTCAGTCTTGTAGTACATGTTCTGACATTAAGTTTAAATGTATTCTTTTGGTGCCGTTGTTAATGCAAGTTGCTAGTATACTTAGCGATGTCTCCTGCTTGAGGTCAGCTATTTTAGGATTTACTAAAGCATTCTTGTGATTAAATCTTTTCGTTCTCAAATAATACTTCTTTATGAGATTTACCAAGATGTGGTAGAAACTTGAATCGACTGATGCTGGTCTGAACTGTATCTTATTGCTAATCTGTCGTATTTCAGATATTATCATTTTCCTGGCACAGAATGGGAATCGTTACTACCGTGCATCTCATGAGCCATCTTGATGTCATAGTCATTTTGCCATTCTGTCTAAATGACCAAACATTGACATACCATGAAATCTACCACCCAAATAACACAATAGCATCCTACAACAAAGATAAACTATGAAGCACAAAAGAAGACGACGAAGTGAAACCTATTTAGATTGATATTGAAATCATATTTCATAGATTATGGCAGAGTTCGTTGCCGGACCCTCCTTAGTTCTCTTTCTCTTTCGGCTCAACATCCGTCTTGTGGTGTCCAGGCAGCCTTTCCTTTATTTTTTCCAAAATACCTTTCTTTTCTTTCATCTCACCTCCTGGAGTATGTTCTTTGTTAGCAGGAGTTGCAGTTACCTCTTCAGTCTTCTTGTGCTGGGGGGAAAGTTTTTCTTTGATCTTCTCCAGAAATCCTTTGTTCTCTTCTGAGTTGGTTGTTTCTCCATTTTCTTCCTCTGTATAGCCTTCCTCCATGGCGGCAATAAATGTATCCTTCGGATTGGTGCAATCCTCTTCCGTCGTGCGTGATATTTTTTCTTTGATCTTGTCTTTTAGGCCCTTCTTCTTCCTCTTTTTCGTTTCACCATCTTCTTCCACTTCCTCATCAGAAGACTGAGAATGAACACCAGATTTTTAGTGATATACAAGCAAACAGAAGACTAGGATTGACACAACGGACTGTTAAAAACTTGATTAATGACTCTATTCACATTGGTGTAATACCAGACAGTCAAATATTCATCAGTAGTTGAATTGCTTATCTCAACCACTGGCAACATGTTACTTGAGATTTCAGGAAAGAAAATGAACGCATAGTTAGCTTCATTGAGGTCTGTTTCCTTGCGCTTGTCTACCATCTCAAGATGGACCACAGGTACCTCCTCATGGGCTTTCTCTCCCTTCTTTCCCATGAAATCAGTTAATTTGCAGTCGTCTGTTTCTGAGAGAGGCATTGTGGTATTGCTGTAGCCACGGTGTTGGGGGCCCTGTTGTTCCTCCATAATCAAGATGAAGAATTTGGAACCGTTTTAGGAATTTGGTTATGCCATGGTAAAGATTGGCACTATATAGTAGAGGTAAAGGCAACACAACACAGCAATTTTAAGTTGTTAAAGCTGTTCTCGGAGGCAGCAGAATAGAAAAAACAAGGTTTAAAACATAATTAATGTGTTACTCCATGACATCCATTTGTGTGTTTTGCATTAAAACATATGTAAGTTTGTTTTCAGTGGGCTTCTGTTCCGGAAAGAAGGCTACTAGTTTTGTATGAAACGAGTTTCCTTGGATAATGTCAACGGTGAGTACGGATAACCTTGGACGACTGTGCAAGAATAGGGACAGAGTATTGAAGAAAGGCCCATTGTCTGTGGGGAGTTTAGCAAACCAAGAATGGTCAGTTCGGACAGACAGCCGATGGCTTGCACAAATTGAGGAGCTTTGTGTTTGAGAGCTTTGGCTGGGGTTCTGATGCCATGACTTGGACGATGTGAAGTAGCATTTCAAGTGGTTACTTTATAGAAATGGCATTTACTAATGCCCTCCTGGGACTAGAAGCAGCTCAATAATTTAGGGCAAGTGGTAAAGTATCATTTTGCGGAGATTTTAGTGTGACATCAAGCTGAGAATCAGGTGGTGACACTGAGTTCCAAATCATGCAACATTCGCGTTATTATCCTGTTTTTTTTACTGGACTCTTGAAATGGTAGAGGTTGGATGGATGCCCTTTCACTTGGGATACTATTGTTTATACTTGTAAAAATATCCTGGCTGAACCTACACCAACGGGCATAATGCATGATGTGAAGTAGAACTATGCCAATGCCAAATGGAAATGATGTCAAGTAGAACTGTGCCAGTCATGCAAGATGGAAACGATGCAACGTGTACGAGGTGTTATATGCCAAATTTTGAATAACAAATAGTAATTGGGAAAATCCCACCCGCAGCGAAAAGAATCCAAGGGCGGTGTCATAGCACCCCTTGATCTAGTCAGGTTCGTATATCTGCTTGCCCCTAACTCAAGCCTCTTTAGGCTCCCTCTCATCTATAGACTATAATAGATTAGGTTATACAATTGTTATCGTTGCCGGAAAAAAAATGGTAATTGGGAAAATGGGGCTTAGATGTGGCAGTCTTTCTTTAAGCTGTGATTTCTGATGAGCCTTTCCGTAAATTAGTAGAGCCAATTCCTTGGCAAAGTTTTCGAGGTTAAAGATATTATCGACACCCCGTAGTTGATAGCCGGCAACCTTTTGAAGCAATGACAAAAGTATACTTGTATCTTGATTCTAGTACATATAAGCATCATTCACATACATAGTCATGCACTGAAACCAGCACTCGATTTTAGGATGTTTTCAGCGGTTGTTTGGTTGCTAAATAACTCCATTGAGAAGAGGTAATTGATGGTGTCAATGGGGCTTAAAGAAATTGGCATCCAAACCATCGACCACTAAACTCCACAATGCAGCAGCTGCTAACAAAAAACTCATTACAAGGCCTAAAGAACCAAGGCCAAAATTTAGACACCACATTGAACTCAAGACTTTGGGTTTCTTAATGGCAAGCCACATGAAACAGGGATAAGCCAGAGTCAAGGGGAGCGTGATTGCACCAATGAAAGGCCCCAGACTTCCGAGGAAGGGAAAGGCCATGGCTATGAAATATGTCAATCCTCCGAAGAAGACTCTTATGGCTGAGCGAACCCATCTGGGGCATGCCTGGTTTCTCTTGCTAACGTATATGCGCTCCAAGTTGTCGAAAACTGGCATTCCATAGATTTGGAATGCGCTGAATAAGTGCACTAGCATTATCACGTATATCGTGGCCATCACAGATTTTGACGTCCTCTGGTGTTTCAATGATGTAGACAGTGCATTTAGGATCCCCTTTGCTGGCATCTGCCATTGTGTTTAGACCAGGTCACCCAAGTTTAGTACTCGTGAATATAATAAAGTTTTCTTCTTTTTTTTTTTTCCCTCGTATCGTCGAATAATAATTGGGTCTAAGAATCTAAAATGGGAGATCAATGAAGTGAAGAATTTAAATAATACTACTGAGTAGTAGAAGTTACCATATTCCCATAAGCCCAATATCCTCCTATTGCCAGGGGAAAAAGTAACACTGCAATTAGTAAATACGATGCAGTCACTCCTCTCCACATCCCATGACGAGATGGATGTTGTGGATCCGTGGGTATGGTTCCCTGTCGTTGTATCATAAGCATCAGAAACTGCCTCTTTGTGAATTAAAGTCCATCAGACTTTTGGTTGAATTATATACAGCAGGAGCAGTATGAACTTAAAATGTAATCAAATAGGAGAGCGCAACATTCTTGCACTCGCATAACATGTAAAAGTGGGGAGCCTAATGCATCAGTCTTTACCTGTATTTCAAGGATTAGATTGTGACCTTTGAAAGTGAGAGCAATAATCCCAAGAGCATTGATGATACCGCGAATTCGAGGCATTTCTGATGCAGCTGCTTTAGATGGTTCATACGAAACACCTCCGGGCCTACCTTCTCTGATGGAAAGAGTCCATAGCATGGAAAAATATGTCGCAAGTGCCATTGATCCGATCAGCGAGACCGGAGCTAAGGAGTGCAAGCTGGGGAAGAATTGGGACACCAAAATGGCCAAGCATACGAATACAAAAAAGAACCATGCTGCCCCAGTTAATACTGTATCTGAGCTGCATTTCGGGTCATCTCCGCATATGAGTTTATACAAAAGCTCCATGATCCCTCCCCCTGTGATTATGATCACCACGCAAGTACCACCCGAGAGATACATGGTTGGAAATATCGCAAGCAGCTTCCCCAGTTTTGGACCTGATCAAGAGATGAGGAACTCTTGTTTATGTCAGTGTTTTCGGTTTGATTCGGTGCCATGCTCCCCTGGGGACTACTATCCTCTGCTTGTTTTACAATTGTTTGAGGCATAGAAATATCAATCAATTGGGTAAATTTTGTGATGTTTATATGGCGTGTGGTCATTTCTAACATCTTTCTTCAATTCAAGATCTTATCGTACTATATCTAATTTACAGGATTTCCTTTACACAGGTCCCTGCACTCGAGGACATATTTAAGGAGCAGGCATGCATGGCTCGCTTGGCTGGAATGGGAAATTAATTGGATTAATCAATGTTTTGGGTCTTTGAAGACTAACCAAATGCTATAATTGACAGGACGACGTATCTGCTGCAGCGAGTTCCGGCGGCTCCTGCCGGACCTGGTTCGTGAAGATGGACCAGAAGCCATGTGGTGTAGAGCTGCCATGCGAAGACTAGTGTCAAACACAGCGTTCCCCACGCCCTGCACCCAATCCAGACACAAACAAAATTCGTAATCATAAATGCAACACTAGTTTTCTGTACGTAAATTGTAATTACTGATATTCATAAGAGGAGGTGTCAAAATGGATCGATGATCGGGTTATAATTGAGTCAACTCATTTATATATAATAATTAAATATATGGGTACCCATTCATTTATATCCATTTATATCTATTTAATAAATAAGTATAAGTATATTCAATTGCCCATTTATAAGTCACTTAAAGTTCTATTTAAATTTTTATTTTTTGTATGTTGTTTAACAAGAAATGACGTTATTTTATTGTTATTAGATTGGTAAAAAAAAATTCAAATTTATTGGCTTAACACTCACTAAAAGTTGAGTTCTAATATATAATTATTTTTAAATGATGATAATAAGTGAGTCGAATCAACCCATTAGTCACTAATGGATTTAATTGGATACTCATTTAGATCCATTCAAAATTAATGAACCGGTTTGAGCGTATTATTGATAGGCGGATTTGAGTGAATCAATATAACGAGTTGTGATTGGCACCTCTATTAATAATTAACGCTGCGAGGGCAAAATGAATATCAGTTGATAATCTCATCAGTCCACCCTTTCAGTGGGCTTCACCGTCTCAAGCAAGGGATTTTATTCTTTTTCTGAATGAAGCTAAAACGTGTAATCGTTATCTAGGAAGGGGCAATTAAGACTGTTAGTTTTGTGAAACATTACTCCTTCCTAGTCCGATGGAATAATGGCTTTGATTAGCCTTGAGAAAATTTTGAAGAGTACTAATAGTTAAATGTATCATAGCTGAAAAATATATTGAAAAAAGACCCCCACACCCCCCCTCCCCCCCAAGAAAAAAAACCCCAAACCCAACACAAAAAAAAGAGAGAGAGAGAGAGAGAGAGAGAGTTTGTTGATCCGTTTGGATTGCATTTTAAAGAAAAAAATTTTAATTGTAGCAGTACTTTTTTTAGATATGAAGTATACAAAATAAAAAGGCGATTGTGAAACGTGTTTGTTTGAGATGGATTGTATAAAATTTTTGTAAATAATGTGTAAACAATAGGAATCCAATGGCTTCTGGTAGAGAGTAGTATTTACTGTATTGGTTGGAGAGAGGTAGAAATGAAATCAAAAGCTACGTACCATCCGAGCGGCACAAATGCAACGGGAAGTAGTAGGGCTTGAATACCGATTCCAGAACATAGCAAATGAAAAGCAGCCGTGAAGGCGTTTCCACGTCTGGATTGAGTAATGGGTAGCCAATCATCAGGGTGGTCTTTGTGGCTACCGAATTTGTCAGGAATGTCAATTGTGAGAATAGCAGCAGTAGTATTGGTTGGAAGGCAGAAATCTTCATCTGATGTTTCCCTACTTGAATGTTGTTGCAGCAGCAGGAGCCCGAGCGGGGTGGACCTAGAGCTGAATGGAACTGGGGATTGTTGTTGAGGAGCTTCATCGTGGACTACTGGCACTATTCGGGCTGATGAGGATGCCCTCTGCGGACCACCTACTTCCATTACTTCTCCCATATGTATGCTGGCAATCTTCAGCAGCACCTGCAGTGCCTTGCCCTCTCCTTTCTACACACACACACACACATATAGATATATATATATATATAGGCAGAATATGCATCTTGTCCACAGTCTCATGACCAGAGTAAATCCACAACTCCCACGCACGTACGTTAAAAAATGTGTTTGTTGTACTAGGTGATCCAAAGGTACTAGAAAAATGTACCTGACAGCAAAATAAGTCGCAGACAATTTTGTTTGGGTTGGTATAAATCATGATTAA